CCCATTATAACATTCAGAGCTTCAGCTTTCCCTACTTGGAGAGGCTGTGGGGAGCATGGGGAAGCTCATGTCATTGATAGTGGGTAAGAAAAATAGAAGTCAGTGCCTTGAGGGTAGTCTCTTTTCTGACATTGTACTGCAAGGCCAAACAGGCCTTCAAAGCATCACAGGTCTGTTTTCAGACATGCAGATCCCAAACTGTGGGATATGGAACAAGTGAAAATACATCATGGTCCAGAGCAACAGGTACTGTACGTAAGCAAACAGTGTATCTTCATGTTGACAAGAGAAGTTACTTTGCTTGTAGCTTGAAGTATGAATTTTTCCAATTCTGTTTGTTTGTTTCCCTTCTCAGTTAGTCTTCTCTTTTTGGGATTGCTTTAGAAAGTGATAACTTTTCCTAAATTTTCATATTATTGTAATTGATATACTGGTTTATAATGCAGAATCATCAAATTATGTTAATAATGCTAAAAATACCATTTATACAAAGCTATCTAAGCTGATTTTAATAATAACTTGTGTTAGGTTAATATATAGTTGTTTAAGAAAATTTAGCACTGAAAAATATATTTCTAATGGAGAATTGTTTCTTACCTTTTATGAACTGAATAAATCACACATTTCCTGCTCGGAGACAGAAACCTTTACTTTTGTGTTGAGTGCTTTAGTACACTGTTTCTTTAGTTCTTGTTGTTTTGAAATGCTCCGCGTATTTTCTTTCATGAGCACAGGTTTATCCTATGATATCCAGAAGAGTTTTGCACTTTTCTATTTTAACTAATCTTGCTTTATGCATTGTATTTTTTTCTTTAAAGCGAGTCTGTTTCAATCAATATGTAACACACGTTAATGTTATCATTAACATTTAACCTGTTTTTACACAAGACAGAGGTGAGTCTGTTTGTCTTGGAAGCAGTCAATTTTTTCTTGCCATTTCACCATAAGATTGAATACATGCTGAATTCTACAACTGTGTTACACACTTGTTTACTGGGAGCTACTGGACTTATACCTTAGGGCCTAATTTAGTTCTGTTTACCCAACTTTCTTCTTTCATGTCTGTTTTTTGTCTATTTTTGTCATTCTTTTTTCATATGTACAAGATGTCTCTTTCTCTTTGTCCTCTATGTTACTTCTAAAATAGCCAAGTTTAAGATCCCTACAAAATATAGTTTGATAGAACTGTTATTAAATAAATGAGTACAGTCACTTTACGTAGCCTCCACTTAAGGAGTTAGTTTGGGTATATCTGAGGAAACAAGACTTACGCCGTCACTGTATGTGGTCTTTCAGTACCTGTTCTCCAGAAAATTTTTAACATAATTTAAAACCTCTACAACTCTTCAGAGGAGGTTGTGGCAAGGTGGCCTCTTCTCCCAGTTAGAAGTGATAGGATGAGAGGGAATGGCCTCAAGTTGCACCAGGGGAGCTTCAGATTGGATATATTGGATATATAATTTCTTCTCCAATAGAATGGTGGGTCATTGACACAGGCTACCCAGGAGTCACCATTCCTGAAAGTGTTCAAGAACTGTGTGAATGCAGCACTGAGGGGCATGGTTAGTGGATGAGGTGGTGATGGGTTGGTGGTTGGACTAGGTAGTGTTAAAGGTTTTTTCCAATCTTAATGATTCTGTGATTCTCTTTGTTCACATTAACAACAGTGAAACTTGTCTCAGAGACTCTGGTTAGTTCAGAACAGGTTTGGTTAAAGCATGTTGACCAGTACCATAGATTTACCCCCCACTTTTAAATTTCTTTTTATTTCCCATGAAACTGAATAAAGATATAAATTTTGTCCTTGAGTGCTCATTAGAGATGACCAGTGTTACTTTCAGAGCAACAGTCAATTTGAAGTAAAAATGTTTTAAAAATATACAAGTACTTGCTTTGAAAGTTTACTGTATGCCTGTATGGGAACTGCTGAATCATGGCCTGAACCTCTGATTGACCTCCTGAGGCGAACAATGAGTCAGCCCTGGTAGCACAGGTGAAGGCAATTCACCTACGATGCTGGAAGGGGGGAGCCTGGCTGCACCTCTCCTAGACCCCATCTAAGAGCTGGCTACTGCTATGGTTCTCTTTTGGAGATCACTCCTCTTGGAGTCTTCTCAGTGAGCCCAGGACAAGGGTAAGCTTTCCATCCATTGTTCTTTAGAGTGATAACTTGTTTAGCCTAACTTTCTTGTCTATTTCTTAATTACAACATCTGTATATTCATTGATTATACAATGCCACTGGCATTAGAGCTAGATAACTGCTGCACAGACAGCTACAAATCTGTTATTAGATATTCTTCATTGCCTAATGTGTATGAAGCCTGAGGGATTTTTTGTTTGGTTGTTCTTTTTGCTGCAGTGTGTTTTTATTGGTTTTTTATCCACCCAAGAGTGCTGAGGGAACTGGCGGAGGTGATAGCCGAGCCGCTTTCCATCATCTGTCAGCGCTCCTTGTTGACTGGTGAGGTCCCAGAAGACTGGAGGCTTGCCAACGTGACTCCCATTTACAAGAAGGGTCGTAAGGAGGATCCGGGGAACTACAGGCCTGTTAGCCTGACCTCGGTGCCAGGGAAGGTTATGGAGCAGATTGTCTTGAGGGAGATCATGCAGCATGTGCGGGATGAGCGGGGGATCAGGCCTAGCCAGCATGGGTTCGTGAAGGGCAGGTCCTGCTTGACCAACCTGATCTCCTTCTATGATCTAGTGATCCATCTGGTGGATGAGGGAAAGGCTGTTGATGTGGTCTACCTAGACTTCAGCAAAGCCTTTGACACTGTCTCCCACAGCATGCTCCTGCAGAAGCTGGCAGCCCGAGGCTTGGATGGATACACTCTTGGCTGGGTGAGGAGCTGGCTGGAGGGCTGGGCACAGAGAGTGGTGGTGAATGGAGTCAAATCCAGCTGGCGACCGGTAGTGAGTGGCGTTCCCCAGGGGTCGGTGCTGGGGCCTGTCCTCTTCAATGTCTTTATTGATGACCTCGATGAGGGCATCGAGTGCACCCTCAGTAAATTCGCAGATGACACCAAATTGGCTGGAAGTGTGGATCTGCCTGGGGGTAGCGAGGCCCTACAGAGGGATCTGGACAGGCTGGAGAGCTGGGCTGAAGCCAATGGGATGAGTTTCAACAAGGCCAAATGCCGGGCCCTGCACTTCGGCTACAACAACCCCAGGCGACGCTACAGGCTTGGGGCGGTGTGGCTGGAGGACTGCGTAGAGGAAATGGACCTGGGGGTATTGATTGATGCTCGGCTGAATATGAGCCGTCAGTGTGCCCAGGTGGCCAAGAAGGCCAATGGCAGCCTGGCTTGCATCAGAAACAGTGTTGCAAGCAGGAGCAGAGAGGTGATTGTTCCCCTGTATTCAGCGCTGGTGAGGCCGCACCTTGAGTACTGTGTCCAGTTTTGGGCCCCTCACTGCAAGAAAGACATTGAGGCCCTGGAATGTGTTCAAAGGAGGGCAACAAAGCTGGTGAGGGGTCTGGAACACAGGGCTTATGAGGAGAGGCTGAAGGAGCTGGGAATGTTCAGCCTGGAGAAGAGGAGGCTCAGGGGAGACCTCATTGCTCTCTATAACTTCCTGAAGGGAGGTTGTAGTGAGCTGGGGGTCGGCCTCTTCTCTGGTGTCATTAGTGATAGGACCAGGGGGAATGGCTTCAAGCTACGGCAGGGGAGATTCAGGCTGGACATGAGGAAGTATTACTTTTCAGAAAGGGTGGTCAGGCACTGGAATGGACTGCCCAGGGAGGTGGTGGAGTCACCGACCCTGGGGGTGTTCAAGGAAAGGCTGGATGTTGTGTTGAGGGACATGGTTTAGTGGGAGCTATTGGGAATAGGTGAACGGTTGGACTGGATGATCTTTTAGGTCTTTTCCAACCTTGGTGATTCTATGATTCTATGATTAATGCATTAGCTAGTTACCTAAGGAGCTGAGCCAGTTTACAAAAAATATTAATCCTTCCAGGGCACACAAATACTAAGTTTACTGGAAATTGTTATTGGTGGTATTTCTGACAAAGTAGTCATGGTACTTTTAAGCCTATTCTTGGATACCTGGGTAAGGAGCAGAAAGTTGGAAACAGTTCTGAAAAGAAACTGGTAAATGTTTTAAGTCTTCTGAATGATTAAAAAGAGGGGAGAAAAAAGGCTGTTTGCTTTATCCTTGCTGATAAATAGTTTTGTTTGTTCTAAGTAAATAGTGAGTTCTAAACTGGAAAATATAAAACAAAGAGAGACAAAGAATGGAATGTTCAGTTTAATGACAATAAAGAACTGAAATTATATTTGATCACTGATCATTTTTTTTTCTCACTGATACAATTGATACATATTTGACAAAAAAGGTTTATGACAACAGTTGTTTTCTAAATTTTCCTTCAGTATGAAGAACATAAAGAGAGAAGTACAGGTCATTTTTAAACTTCTATTTTTCTTGTAGTTCAGTCACCGTATTGAGCTCAATTACTCTTTTGGCTGAAGTAGTATTGACCTGACTTCTCCTGTACTCAGTCATTATTGTCAAGTACTGGCCCTGGAGCTTCTGGATTCAAGAATAAAAATCATGACAACAGCTGAATGAGCTGTCAGACAGACTGTTGCAGATGGTCAGCTTTATATGAGTATTTTCAGGAATGATCACTAAGCAGGCGTTTGTTTCTCACTGGAGTATCCGAAGAATCTGTCTGCTTACACAAGGAGGAATTGTGTGGGATGACAGATTTTCCTTCATTGAGGAATTCGGGGCTTAAATCAGTAGTTAGGTGAGCTATCTAAGACATATATCTTATCCATGATATAAAAATACAGATATGGAGAATTTGTTCTTTATCAACCAACCAATATGCAAACATAATTGTAAATGAAGTCTGTACATAGTAATGATGGATGAGTTACAGGGTAAGCAGTGAAAAACACTATTCTACTATCTTGCTATCTTATCTCTTAATCTTATCTTTATCTTATCTCTTAAGTCATTAATTTTATTCTTTGTTTTTGATTTCAGAAGGAATAATGCAGGTGACAGGGAGAAGGCACTACAAGTCATGCTTCAGGTCCTGCAGACGTGTGATCACCCTGCTCCAGATATGTTTTGCTTATGTGGAAGGATATATAAGGATATGTTTCTTGACTCTGACTGTAAAGATATCAGCAGTCGAGATCATGCCATTGAATGGTAACTGAAGAAAGCCCAAAATCTTTCTTTAAAAACTTCTTCAGGCTTTTACAGTTGTGAAAAGCAGAGCTGTATAATATAGAAGTTCAGAAGTTCCTCTTTTCTACTTTTTTAATGGTTTGATTTGAGTAAATGATTTACTGAGCACCAGGTATTTGGATATGTTTTCTTACTTCTGTGCAGAGTGAATACATTGAGTATAGGATGATTCACTTAACTTTTCAGAGAAAATCTGCTTTAGGGTCAAAATAAAAAGCAAGTGAGCTCATGGGACATATGTTGATCCTTTGTGCAAGGATGGTGCCCACCTTGGAGCTACGACATAGAAAGGTCTACTGTATTTAAGGAACAATATTGATAACTGCATTATCTCAGTATCTCAGTAAACTCTAATGAGAGTGAAGCTTTAAAACAAAGCACTTTGGAGATAATTTGTAAAACTTGCACTGAAGACTAATACTTTCATTGCTTTTCTCATATGAATAATACAATAAAATCATGTTCTATTATATGTATGAGTTTAGCAGTAACCAGTTTAAGTTTTATTTTCACAAAACTACAGAAAGTAGCAACTAACATACAACTAAACAAGTTTTTGTTTCTCAACATAAGACGAGTTCCTTCTTTCCAAGAGTTCTTTGCAATGCATCAGGGCCACTAACTAGCCATTTAGTCCTTCCAGTAAATTAATAGCTGAAAATGGCTACCAAAACTATGCAGTATTTGTTATTCAGTGAGACGTGAGCTCCTGACTCTTCTCTGCAGGTACCGCAAAGGGTTTGAACTCCAGTCAACACTGTATTCAGGAATTAACCTTGCAGTTTTACTACTTGTTGAAGGACAGCAGTTTGAAAGCTCAATGGAACTGAGAAAAATAGGTAAGCATCCACTCATAGAGCCATGACGTGTTTTTTTTTGCCCCTCTCCCTGTGAAGAAAACAAAATGCTTATTGAGATAGGCTGTGTGGATAGAAACATGGTTCAAACTTTTTAGAGACATGTCCCCAGTGGCAGTCTAAAACACGGGGATCTTGAAGTACCACTTTTTATTTTGTTGCCTTGGTGCAACTTTCTAGTAAGTAGGTCTACCTATAGGGCTCCAGGTGAAGGAGGGGAACAAGGACTGACTTAAGCACTATCCATGAACTGCCTCTCCCGCACCACAGAGATTATCCCATTGTATAGCTAGCTAAGTCACGCTGTGTAGTTCATCTTTCCTTGGGGATGTCAGGGAAGAATCTACAGGATTTATGTTGTCCTGAACTGAGAGATCACATGGAAAGATCTATCAGGACAGTAACTAATTCTGTACACAACTTCCACGTAGGCCCATTTCTTTCAGTCAGTGAAGATCTCAAGGAAACAGGTACACAGCTTACACTACGAATCAGGAGGCAAATATCACAAGATTTTTTTTTTTTTCAGCAGCATATGTGATAGGAGTTCTGTCTGTTTCAACCATGTTGGGGATGTTTTCTGCCCTAGCCTCTGTATTAAGCACTCTTTGTATTTTTCTGAAGAACACTCGCTCTTATTTATTTTTCACTAATGCCAAATCATATCTGATTGGACTTTTATTGATAGACTTATTAATTTGTGTTTTACTGATAGAAAAATGTTTCAATTGAAATTTTACAGGTGTACGGTTAAACAGTTTATTGGGAAGAAAAGGGAGCCTAGAAAAAATGAACAGTTACTGGGACGTGGGACAGTTCTTCAGTGTGAGCATGTTGGCTAATGATGTTAGTAAAGCAGTTCAAGCAGCAGAGAAACTATTTAAGCTGAAACCTCCAGTATGGTATGTAGTAGAAGTCTGTAGCACAAGTACCCAATTCTGGGAAATACACAAAGTAAAACAATCTTGTAGACTCTTGATTAATTTAACTGGATTTTTCCATCATAAATTGTTTGCAATGCTAATGTTATACTCTGTTCTTTCATTCTGGGAAAGAAAGGGCGAGGAAAGGAAATGGTAAGGAAGTAACTTACCATTATTGTTGGCTGTAAGTCTAATTGCAGAAAGGTTTATAAGAACTTAGAAAACAGTGACAATTCCTATGAAACAGTTCTTTTCAGAGTTTAGATAGCTGCTGCTCTGTCCAACTGCCATTTTCTACCTCATAATAATCCTGTCCAACTGTCACTTAACTATATGTGTGACTACACCCTTTTGCAATGTTTATGAATGTCCAAGTGAGTTTGTGACTTAAGGTTTACACTAAGTAAGCTATTCTTTCAAAAATGCACAAAAATTGATCATTTCAATCATGGTAGCTTTTAATGTGAATTTGATTTTGCTTCACATTATATTTGCAGTTACTTTTTTGGATGTTTAAGTCAGTTAAGTGCTTTTAGGATCTGGTTAAATTCTGTTTTCTCTCTGTTAACTCACTAATTCTATACATTGTAGGTACTTGAAATCATTAGTTCAGAATCTGATGTTAATTCAGCGTTTCAAGAAATTCGCCATAGAACATTCTCCTAAACAAGAAAGATTGACTTTCTGGCTGGATATAATTTTTGAGGCAACGAAAGAAACTACTAATGGACTGAGATTTCCAGTAAGATGTGATGTCCAAACAAGTTTTGTTTTTCTTATGTTTCTGGATTAGCTATCACCAGAATTAGAAGACTTCTAAGCACAATACTTACATGTTTAAGTGCCTGTTATTTTATTGCATGAACCAAACCCCTGTATTCTGCAAACCTATACTTTGTAAAAAAACATTTGACCCACTGCCCTAAAATCATTGTAAAGAAATGCTTCTAAGTCTTGTAATAGAAACCATTATCGTATCATTTGGTTGGCAACAGGAATGCAGCATCTTCCTGCCTTGTCTTGCCCTTCTTTCTCCCCTGGAAACTTCTTAGGCCTTACTTTGTGGTTGTCTATTGCCTATTCCAGAGCATTAGTGTTTACTGAAGATGTTGTCATGTGCTACTTGCTGTTTTATTAAGGAAAAATATTCTCTCTCTTAGGTTTTGGTGATAGAACCAACTAAAGTCTACCAGCCTGCATATGTTTCTATCAACAGTGAAGAAGATGAGAGATCTCTTTCCTTGTGGCATGTCTCTCCCACTGAAATGGTAAAACTGCCAGCAGATGCATCTCGTGTATTCTGATCATCATGCTTAAATTCACTTTTTCACGTGTGGATTTGGAGTGCTTTGCTATCATTTAAAGTTTACTACATTTATGCAAAGCACAAATCTTGACGCCTCTCTTATGAAGATGCAAAGATTGGCTTTTTACAATGAAAACTATTAGATAAAGTACTGGAGATTAGAAAAGAAATATGGATGGATAAAGTTCAAGAGATTAGCAAAGGCATATAGACAGTATAATCTTTTGAGAAAGAAATAACTTTAATTTCACCGGGATGTGTTGGACCAAGGTTTCCTGTTGGGATCGTGTAGGTGGGGGCTAAAACTGTAGAGAGGTGAAGTATGGAAAAGATGTATGTTAGAGCAAGACTACGTAGTCACCTGGATCTGTGAAGTTTTTTTCCAGTATGTGTGCTACTTCACTACTTGGAGTGAATGTGCCTGACGCACCACTCATTTACGGAACAAATTCTTGGTGCATGTTTAGTGATGTGAAATACCACTCAGCTACTGAAGGGAGGGGGTCTGTGCATTCCAATGCACAGGTTGCCCTTCTTTTGTTTTGCCTCCAGTGTGCTCCCTAAGCTAACCTTGTTGGCCCAATACTTCTTTAGGAAGAAACATGAAGTTTTCTTTCCCTTCTAGTCTGGCTAAAACTAGGGCATAGTCTTCTTTGTTTTATATGAAGAACTGATCATTTGGGCCAAAATATAGTGTTTGGTAAATTGTAATCATTTTTTTAAAAAATTTAATTTTATTTGAGGAAATATTCCCTTTTCTTCCATCCTGCAATGTTTGCATTCATTTTTCCTCAAGGGAGTAAAACAGCAACAATTCTAAAAGGAAAGTTGGAAGATAAAGGGGGTGGGGAAGGGGAAAGGGAAAGGAAGGAAGGAGGAAGTAATGGAAGAGAGATTTTAGAAAAACTTCATTTTGCTTGCCATGCTGTAAGTTTGTTTCTGATAGTGAAGTTAAACAGTGTCTATATTAATCTGATATACTTCCGTTTTTCACAGAAACAGATTCATGAATGGAACTTTGCAGCTTCTTCCATAAGGGGAATAAGGTTGGTATGTCTGAAAAAGTGTTGTTTTTTTTTTTTTTAATGCATGCTTCATATTTCCCTTGAGTGGTAAGTCTGGATTCTGCCTTAAATCTCTCCAGTGCATTGCCTGTCATAAAAGCTGCTTCTGTCCAACTTCTCTTGAAACATTGAAAGGGAAAAATTTTCCTTTCCATGCATGGGCAGAGCTGTATATTTCACACAGAAATACACATCTAAGATTTGTTTATGTATTATCTTGTTTTCAATTGTGTAGATGCTTTTCTAAACTTGTGCTAAACTTCTGTGTATTTTCAAAGTTGGGATATTTTGCTGCTAGAAAGGCAAGCGGTGGGTAGCCAGGAGAGAAGGCAAAATGACATCCTGGGTGGTGTCTATGGCGTTCTTGCTACCTGCCTGTGTTTTTCAGACTGTAATTTAGAACTGGAGCAAACATAAGTGCAGGCAACATCAGATGAGTCTTTCCTTTTTACCCCAGTTTGTGAGTTACTGCACTGGTAGATTGGGCCTTTTTAGAGATGTAAGTGGCTCTTTCCTGGGACCACTTAGACAAATGCATAAACTTAAGTGCTTGTCAAACTTTACTTTCCTAAGGTGTTCTGCAGTTCTCAATGCAGAGGTTTTCAGGACCACAGTTATCACTATACGCCTTTGAATGTTATGTCCCAATTTTGTCATCTATGAACGTGAATGATTATTTTTCTAAGTAAATAAGCTCAGTGAAGCAGAAACAAAATTCTGAATAAGGTGAATTGTAATTGCTATGAAAGCCTGTAATTGTAAGTATGGACTTGGATCCTCTCATATCTTTGGAATTTGTTTTCAAGAGCAATTTTTGGTTTTAATTAATCCAATGTGATGTTTTTTTTTTTCTGTTACTCCAGTGCAATATAAGTGGATGTGAAATTATCATTACCGCTGACTGAGCATAACTAAGCAAACAATTTCTAAAACACATTAATCACCTCTGGTCAACACATCACACAAATCAGTCGTGACTGAGAAAGATAACTACTGATTAAATGGAGACAAGATATTCATTTGCTATGATTCTTAATCATGCTGGGGATTGCAAAGCTCAAGGGAACAGACCATTTATATTTAGAGGAACTGAATGTTTTCTAGGTATATCACAGCTTCAAATTGTAATACTTTTGAAATGGCTTTTATGCCACAAGTATAACACAGTTTAAAATTGTCTGTCTCACATTTGCTTGGGGAATGATCATCTTGCTTTGCCATTTAGTTCTTGTGCCAGGTATACATTTGCCTGTTTTGCTAGACTGGGAGTTGTTGTATCAGAGCCAAGGTATAGAATGGCAAAGCATATTTTCAGATATTTCTGAAAAAAATCTTATGGCAGAATTTTAATATTTTGGAACATCTGTCACTACAACCCTAAATGATGCTACAGAAAGTTGGTTTTATGATGTTCTGCACCGTTACTATAATCTACTGTCATGTATTTTAACTAACAGACTCAGTGGAGGCCAAGCATGATCTGAAAGATTTTGACTACAGCAACCAGACAAGAACTAAAATGCGTTTTATTCATTTAATGAATAAAAATAATGTCTGTTCCTTAACAATTACAGCTTAGCACTTATGCAGATTGCTACTGAAGTGTTTGGAATGATAAGAGGTTCATTCCTGGATTTACTTTCATATTTCGATTGTGTTTAATGGCCTCTTCACTTCTAGCTTCAATGCATTTAGATGAGCTATTTGTAACACTGGAAAAACACAATATGCAATAAATGATCACTTTTTCAGAATTATTGCTGCAGTTTGGAGTAAATATTGGTCATTCTAAAACTTGTTTATTAATATTAAAGCCATAAAAATATATACTGTGAAGGATCTGCTCACTGTATCTCCCTGCTCAGTTATATTGTGAGTATAATGGAAGCATAAAAATATGAAATACTGGTCAAGCTTAAAAGAAAGACTTTCACGATATCTAGACTGTTGTCAAACCAGTTCACTTCCATAGTGGTACCAAGAAATACCCTGAAATCTGATAGAACTACGTGAAGATGGAAGGGAAGAAGAGCAACAAACCTTAAAGCACTTGATAGAAGTCAGCATCTTAACAAAATAAGCAGTAGCTTAGACATTCATCAAACTGGGGGTGGGTTTTTAGTCTCAAGGATATAAATAAACTCAAAGCTTCTAGATGTAGTAAAGATTAATATAATTGCCTATAGCTTCTAAGAAGAACATATTTGTTAGAGATTTCAATTCAATTTAAAATTGCCTCCACTTTTTTCTGCTTCTCCTAATGGTGATGTCCAAAATAATCTTTTCTCAATGTTTCTTATTACAGTATTTCCAAGTTTGATGAACGATGTTGTTTTCTTTACGTGCATGATAACTCTGATGATTTTCAAATCTACTTTTCTACAGAAAACCAGTGCAGTAGGTAAGTTTGTTTTCTGTGGGTATTACATGCAAAATATGTCCCAAATGTAATTAATTTAGTAAAAATTGAAAGCTAACAATTCTGCCTGAGAATTTTTTCTCTTACCTTCTTCACTTCTTTTTACTTGATTGAAAAGCAATGAGCTAAATTCTGTGGTATTTAACGAGATGAGAGCAAAGTCTCATCACACATGTTGACTGATTCTGGTCAGTTTAAGTAGCTTATTCTAATGTATAGCTATTATTTTTTCTGTCTCTTGGCCTTGTCATGCATGGTAAAATAATGATTTAGATTCCCTTACATACCTGTACAGTTTAATTTACGTAAGAGCAACTGGATGCACTGAAAATTCTGACTTGGATTGTGTCACAGATACCCGATATGGTTTGCCGTAGAATTGTAGAATGGTTTGAGAAGGGACTCTTAAAGGCCATCTAGTCCAACTCCCTTGCAATGTGCAAGGACAATTGTATTCAGATACTTTGTGATAACAATTATGTTGTCTCTTAACAGTAAACCTACTGACTAAGTTTCAGACCTAAATATAGACTAGATTATTTCTGGGGACAGATACTGACATATAGGTCTTCTGAATGAAGTAGGAGTAATTTGTTAATATACACTATTTCAGGATGAACTGCATATTTTCTTGCAGTAATTATTAATTTATGTGTTACATAGAGTAAACTCATGCTAAAGAAAATTATTAGCTCTGTGGAGTGCAAAGCTTAGAAGAAAGGAAGCATCAAAATGGTTACCTGTGAAGCATTAATTTGGCGTTGCAGTTTATGTAATAAAGATAGACAGCTTTTCTTTAAAAATGATTTTTTTTTTTTAATGCACAGCCAGAGTGTGTTCCAGAAGAAAGTCCCTGTTAGTCAATGAAAGATATGTGGCAAACATTTTATAATCGTTTTTAATAAATTGTAACCATTTACTATGGAATTTTGAGGAGGAAAAAAAAATGTGGCTCACACAGAAGCCTACAGGAAAGCTTGGTCTTGTGCTTAATGTTCTCCATCTCAGAGGACTAGATGAAATCAGTTAAAATCCTTTTTTTCAAGAATGTTACTTTTTCTATTTTGTTGTCTTTCTGGATGCCCAATTAGAAATGACAACTTTGGATTTTCAGAAATAGTGAGGAATGACGTTTGCAACCAAAATCTGTGGGAACATTTAACTTAAACTGAAAATAATAGAATTCTTATCACTGCACAGCAAGAGAACCACCAAACATAATGTTACAAATTTGTGCCACAGGACTGAACCTCTGAATATCAATATATAATTTTTGAATATCTTACCTTTTTCTCTAATTACACTTGTAAATATAAGGACTTAGTAAGCACCTCATATCAAACTGCAGCAAAAATGTTTGTGTTGGATCTACCAATGTTTCAACATACAATTACAGACAAGTATTTAGTTTCACAGCAACAAATAAAATAATTATATAAATTGTTAGTATTTTCGAAGTGTATTTATGTTATTCCTCCTTCAAATAGGATAAGCAAGTAAATAATGAAAGAAACCTATGTTTGAATGTGCTATTCCTTTTGTTTGCTTGGAAGCAAAGCCCATCCTGGGAAGAATGTATCTAATCTCTTGCTGAAAGGCTATTTTTCTTTGATCTTCTGCTATTTATTGCTCTCTTAGGTTCTGTGGGTTGGTGAAAGAAATTTTGTCTGATGCAGTTGGCAGTACTTTGGAACTAGAAGGAGAAATAGATGGAGAAACATTGGAGGTATGTCAGTGTTAAAAGATCAAAGAACTCTGAATGATTTTCTCCATTTTCCTTGCACTTTCCTATCAGTACACTGGAAAGACAATAAATAAAGATTTTAATTACTTAATTATATATGAAGTTTCAACTTTATTTGTGACCAGAGCTACATTCATTTGAAAAAAAACAACTATTTTTAAATGAAATGATCCTGCTAGTACTGTAAACTGTATAAATCCCTAAAGAATTACATTGCTGATTTTATATTTACACTGCAAACAATCTACAGATAAGAATCATTTGATACCAGGTGGCTCAAGAGGGTAAAGAAAAGATACGGTTGATGTAACTGATGAGTGTGAAAACCCAATTGTGGTCTGTTTGATTTGGATGTCTTTCTGCTTCTGTCCCATTCTACCAATTCCATTATACTTAAAATTAAAGGCAACAACAGTGAGCCTTTGTAGTAACTGAGGCGTCAGAACAGGACAGAAAGAATAGATGAACCTTTACTGTACTGTTGCAAGTAATTTCATACTGTGGGGAGGAAGAATTTTTGCACTGAAATTTGTACGTATTGATGACAGATTTTTTTTCCTCGAGTGAAAAGGACGTGATAAGAACGCCTGTTAAACCCAGCTTAATACATGCATATGTAGTCTTGGCATTTATTATAGAATCAGGGTCTGCTTTGGCTAAGAAAGTGTATAATCTATAGCTGCAGCTTTTACATTGCATATTTATGAACTTAGCTCATGGCAGGAAAATCTCAAAATGTCCCAGTCTATTCAGATGTGTAATAATCCCTTGTAGGAAGTGAGTTCACCATAGTTTAAGTCTTTTAAAAAAGGAATTGGTAAAAGACCTTGAGAATGCGCGATGGGAAACAATCCTGCATCAGTCAATTAAGTATGAAGAAATGACCAAATTACTGTTAGATTTTTAAGCTACATCATTCTACGAGTATATATTCTGATGTTTTCAGAATCATCACCTTGTACTTACTATCCTAGGTGAGGAAATTAAAGAATTAAAAATTAAAAGAATTTGTGATACTAAGGGAAAGATAAATTTGCTTAGATTAAGTAAGAGGCTTAATGCCTTCCTGCAATCTGAGATCTTTTTAAATGGGACCACTTGGAAAAAGCACCTTTATATCTGCTTGACAAGCACAGAGAAATCAGAAATTCTTACAATCAATAAAGCAAATATTAATACGTGGGAAAGGGGAAAAATAACCTTGGCATAATTTGGGGGAAAAAATGGGCATTTGAGTTAGAATTCCTGTGATAATGTTATTCTGAGATGATGTATATTTTGAATTGCAGTGTTGCTTGAAAGCAGCTACAGTTTAGATATCTGCAACTGACAGACTTGAAAGGAGAGTGTGTTTGGCAGTTCTTTCTGCCTTAGAATATTTGTTTCTGGATATTGATATTGAAGAAGTTCCTATCGTTTTTGAAGTTCCTACTGCACTCCACATGGGCTATATTGGATGTCAGACATCCCTAACCCACACTTGTATAGAAGGTCAGCTGTAAGCACTTGTGTACTCCTACATCATGGCACATGCAGAGGATCACATATTCAGATCTTTGGCAATGAGCAGTGATTGATTCAATCTTTCTTTGTGCCCACTGGAAAGTAGCATTAAACATATATGGTCTCTTAGAATGTCTACCAACTAGTAGTGAACTATAAATCTCATCAATTCTCATGTTTCACGGCACGCAGACTGGAGAAATGCAGTGATTCTTGAGCTGCCTTCAGACTAGACAGTTGCAGATGGGATCAATCTTAATCTTGTCAATCTTAAATGTGACTGCTGCATTCTTTCAGTTTGATGTCATATGATAGCTGTGAAAGCTGGATGCGTTACTAGTGAAGAACTTGACTAGTTTTACATATGGCATTTTGGGTCAGTTGTGCCTATCATTTAACAAGATTATGTTGTAATTGTAAAGTGCTGAAACATGGAAAATGAAATTCTGCTTGAGCTAAGCTAACTCGAGTTTAGCTCCACTGAAAAGAATATGCTGTTAAGATAAATTACAGACAATTTTTCTTTAGCACCTTCTATATAGTGACAGGAAACATCTCATCTTTTCTGAGACGAGAGAGGGAGTTTCCACAACACGTGGATGGTGCAATACGAGAACTACAAAGAAAAGTCAGAATACACTTCACAGGATGTCTGATGCTGGCACACACCTCTGTGTTCATCAGGTGCATCCCCTGCCCCAGCAGCACACTCAGAGCAGTTGCAAGGCCCATGGCCAGGTGGCTCTTGGAGATCTCCAATGAGGAGACTGCACAGCCTCTGGTCTGCTTGTGCCAGTGCTATATCACCTGCACAGTAAAAAGGGTACTTCCTTCATTTCAAGGTAATAGATCTCAAGTCTATATTCTGTATAAGGTAATAGATGTAGCAGAAGTGGTAGTTATGAATAGAAACACCAGTAGTTGTGGCTTTAAAAAAAAGTAAAAGGAACTCGCATGAAGCAGCAGAGGACATTATGCAGTTTTCCTATATAGGAAATCTGTGTGGATTTGAGAAGACACATAGAGAGGTCTGTGCAAATCCCGATTATGTCTGGAGCTATAAAATTTACCAGTTCCTTTCTTATGTACTTGCAAAAATGCTTTTTTAATACCCTTTATCAACTTCATTTGAAATTGGAATCAACAGTGCTCTGTTTAACCCAGTTAACTTGGGTTAATTTAGTATCTGAGGTGTTTTTTAAGCGTCACTCATCAATAGATTTTTCCACTGGCCTTTCCGTAGGAGTTCTCTCATTAAACCACCACAAGGGACAAGGCCACAGAATAGTGTAAATTAGCATAGCTTTGGTGAAATTTGAACCAGCAGTGTTTTACATAGGTGGTAGTATGCCCCACCGTGTTTCAATAACAGTGAATACAGCCATTTTATATATACTTAATAATCCTTGTGGAGGCTGAACTAATAATGAGGAGTGTCAGAAGTGAACTTTGCTGTGGCTAAGCTCAAATAAGGTATTAGAAAATTGTTCATCTGAACTGATATAATGAGACTGCCAATTTTATTTATGAAATCTTCGGTTTCATACGTATGGACCATATGTTTACAATATGAAGGCTCTGTCAGCAAATCTCAATCACACTATCTGAACTGTCTTTTGATAGCACTGTTTCACTGAGCTTAATTTATCATTGTGTTCCTTTTTTGTATGAATGCATTTGCAAGTTGGTTAGGGAAGATGTTTTGTAAAGCAAATAATGTGGACCTTTTGGAAGTTGCGTAGTGCATGAGGCTGGTGAGTAGATACCATCTGCTCTGCAGTAGTTACTCTGCACTGTACTAATTTGGTACAGTGGTGCAGAACTGCTGTTAAACCTCTCTGTAATTTCAAATGCTGTTAATCACAATTCATGTATTGCTTTGTTTGTCTTATTTGTTTGCAGTACGAATATGATTATGATGAGAAGGGTGACAGAGTAGTTCTAGGAAAAGGTACTTATGGGATAGTATATGCTGGAAGAGACCTTAGCAACCAGGTGCGAATAGCCATCAAAGAAATACCTGAGAGAGACAGCAGGTAAGAGCAAGCTTATTGTTGTATGTATGCATTACTGACAGAACTGCAGTTGTTTGATGAAAACTTGACTCTTCTCAGCAAGTATTTCTATGTGATTGGCTTATAATGTCCCAGTATACTCACATTCAATTATTGTTTTCTCCTAGTATTCCTCAGCAGCCTTTGGAGAATGAGGACTTTTAATTATTTGGGAATTTATGTGCCTATGTATTTCTGTGTATGTGTGTATGCATATATATGTGTGTATGTATAAACTTTATGAAAACGCTACCATTTGACAATGTATCTATCTTAAATCCTAGAAAAAGTAATTTGTTTTTAAAGTTGCAGTTGTACCCCATCTATATTCCTTTGAAGGAGGAGAGAAAGGATAAAAAGAGTTTTCAAAGTGAAGGTACCACGCAGAACAAAGCAGATGCATAAATGTGTAAATGCGTTATCGGAGGGCATGTTTCTCCTCAGCTCTTCTGAAACCTACCTCTGCTTTTTCTCAGCAGGCAACCAGTCACTTTCCATTTTGAAGGTCATGGGCAAGATGTTTACTGAGAGTTGGATCAATATCACTATAATCCATTCTGTTTGCAAAATATCATTTAAACATAGCCTAAAGCCTTTTCCCCCATCGTGCGCTACTCCTTGGTTTTTTGTGTGTTTGTTTTTAATAGATATTCTCAACCTCTTCATGAAGAGATAGCACTGCATAAATATTTAAAGCATCGGAATGTTGTCCAATATCTTGGATCCATTTCAGAGGATGGATACATTAAGATTTTTATGGAGCAGGTGCCAGGAGGTTTGTAATATTCTGAGCTTAATCTCTCAAAGAAACTAAAAGCAGTTGGGACCCTGAACTTAGTGAAAGCCAATGGATGTGCATTTAATGTGTTTGTGCGCTGTATTTGGCTTTTCTGTTGAGACATTCATTACCAGTGGCATTCTTTGCATGTGAAGAATGATTTGAAGTATACAGCTCCCAGTTTGCTCTTTCCTTCCTGTAGTAATTATAAATGTAGAGAAAATCAGGGAAAAACTATGTAGTATTTGGTGTCAAGTTCTCACATGTTATAAATCAGTAGAGATAAAGCTCTGATCTCCTTTTTAGCTTGAGCAGCTAAATAACTGGAGCTTTTAAGATAGCTTCTGTTGAGTGGTGATACAGTTTGAGCAAACTGAATATGAAAAACCTGCTGCTTTCAAACAGTGCTTTTCCTTGACAAATCAAAGACAGAATTGGTCTGCTTCTATTGCTCATAAATTACAGTTTTGTTCCTCTAACCTTTTCCATATTTAAGTCTCTCTCTTCTCCTACTCTAGGTTACACTCCCATCTCCCTTTTGTACATGGCAATAGAAGTCAGGATGAGCGTTGTCTGTTTTGTAACTTGCAAAACTAAAACAGAAAGAAGAAAAATCGGGTTTTCTATGGAAAATCCAGACACAAACGTTCACAGATTAAATAAATGTATCTGGGGCGTTAAAGATTGGGAAGATTTTTATTTTGAATTCTGGCGACCTTCTGATCAAAGAGCCTTAATTTTTACTTTTTTCTGTTGTTCTGTGTTTAGCTGAGACAATGATATGTGTGACATGCTGATATAATGAATTTAAATCAACACTTCCACTTGTTTTCCTACACTTGTTAAAAGCATCAGCTGCTGCTGCTTACCTGCCTTTTTTTCCCCTATTCTTATTTGCACAGTGGAGTGTGCTATGATTAGTTGCTAATGCCAGGGTGTTATTGAACCAATTCTGTTATTTTTTAACTCTGCAACTAGTGTTAAAAAGAGACCAGCTGTTCAGATTATGCAAGATTCTTTGACCAAACTTTGTTTTAGAAGGCTGTTGATGTAGGCTACAAATCCCTTTAACTGTCTGGCATTAAACAGAATGACTGCACCTTGTTTATTATGAACAGAAAAAGACTGTCTTTATTTTGGCTTGTGATTAGAGAATTTGTATAATTTAAAAAAAAGATTAGACATATTGAAGGCAGGGAAATTGTAGATGACTGACCTCTTTCGCTGAACATCCATTAGTTTGTTTCTTTAAGATTTTTCCATCTTTTCCTTTGGAATTTCCAGGACTAAATCCCACATTTGCAAGGAAATAGTTTTTTGTTTCCTGTTTTTTTCTCCTTTTTTCTCTGAAGTAAATCAGCTTATTTGCTTGTGCATCTGGTTTACAAAGTACAGTATATTACATAATACAGTGTCATCTGTTGTGGTCTTTATGTCATGAAGGGCTAAATGTTGTGAGTCCTTATCTTAACTTGTTAGACTGTAGTGAGGGAGATACATATAGCCCTATTATAACATTTGTTCTTGTCGTGGAGATGGAAGCAGAGCTGGCAAAAAAGAAATGACCCATCAGGAGCAGTGAGAAATGAGTTGCTTTGACTGAACTAGGAATAATTTGGTTTAATTCTAAGTGCTGCATTTCTCCTGTGTTAGGATATTGTGCAAAAGGTTAATCTGGCCTTAAATATTTAATATTAATCTTGGGATTTTGTTATCTTGACGTGCTTTCTTCTTAAATCACATAGGCAGCCTCTCAGCTCTTCTGAGGTCTAAGTGGGGGCCAATGAAAGAACCCACAATTAAATTTTACACCAAGCAGATTCTGGAAGGCCTTAAGTATCTCCATGAGAACCAGATTGTACACAGAGATATAAAGGTAAATTTTTCCTCTAGTGTTCTTGTGTCATTTGCTTTTCATTTTATTTACTTCAGTTAGTTTTACTCTAACCTGAATTTTTAATAAAATTTCATGGAAACTTAAAAATAAAGGAAGGAATACAACAATCCCTTGATGCTTCTGGAGAATTCGTTTGTAGAAATGTATATTACAAAGATAACCACAAATTTGTATAATACAACTTATATTGAGGCTGGGATTTAGCATCTGCACTTACCTGTTTTCTCCTTTCCATCCCATGCCTTCTCTCATCAAAACTACAGGGGGATAACGTGTTGGTGAACACCTATAGTGGCGTGGTAAAGATATCTGATTTTGGTACTTCCAAACGGCTGGCAGGAATCAATCCGTGCACTGAAACGTTTACGGGTAAGACCAAATGAACAGACGTTTTTAAGGGTATTGTTAATATAGATTTTTCGTTGTCATCTAGGGCTAGACCCATGATAGGTTTAGATGTAGAGCCAAGAGGCTCTTCAGATTGATGGGGAAAACGGGATTAGGTTTCTTTTATTCTCTGCAAAACTCTTATAAGTTCATTTCTAGCACAAAGTAGTAAAAACGTGCAGCATTTGGGGAAAGCATTTAATGAACAACAGCTGAAACTTCAGACTGTAAAATGGCAATATGGTGGCATAATTACTCAATTATTTTATCAATGGAAAAAATAGGTATGTTTTCCTTTGTTGTTTGACCATGTGCATAGACTGATAGCACAGATCGCAAGTCTCACATTGGCCTGCAATTTAAGTATGGAAAAGGGTCCATAGTCATCAGTCATGTGGAACACGGAAGACATAACCTATGTTTAAAGGTTTCCCATGACCTGGTGATGACTTTACATTTCCTCCTCTCTTAGAAACTAGGCAGTGACCACAAAATCATCTTCTTTGTTCTCTTGTGTGTTTGCTGTCCTGCTCGTGCCTTAGAAGTATAATTTACCATGACTAGAAATGTTTTACTTAAGTTCTCAGTTTGGATTTAAAATCAGTAGGAAGGGAGCGATTGCCTGGAAGGGCTTAACAATTCTCTTGCTATTTGTTTTGCTTCTTAACTCAGTACATAAACTGCAGATTTTAGGCGTTATGCAATACAATCAGGTGATTCAAGGGTCAGGCTTCTAGTGGCTTAAACATTATATCCATCCATTCAAGACTCTCAGCCTGAGGGCAAAGCTGTGGCTTGAACTGTAGTTCCACAATAGTTTAATGAATGTACTAATATCCAATGCCTTTATCTTCACCAGATATCCTCTATTTTATTTTTCATAGCTTTACCACAGTGTAGGTTCGTTACATTCTTAATCAGAAAAATGATTTAAAGATACTGTAAAAGACCTGGTAGAAATCTGTGTGGAAAAAAGTATTGTAGTGGTTGAAACACAGAGAATGTTTATAGATTTCCTTTGCTGACGTGGACTGACTTCTTGTAAAGCCCTCTTGTCAGTTGTCTGACAGTATATGATTGGAGACCAGTGATTCCAGGTTGACCATCATTATTCCATTTTTGTACTGTATTTTTTTCTCAGTTTTATAGCTAGTTATTACACTCAGACTGTCTGCAAGCAAACTTCAGGGGCATCCAGTTTTATCTCTTAACAGCCAACTGCAGGGTCTTATTTTGTCGATGTTCTAACTTGAGAAGTTTTAGTGGATTTTTCTTTTCATCTTTTTGGTAACCCTGGTTGTCAGAAATTTCAAACGCATCAAGAAGACTTCATTGAATTGCAACATATGATGAGCTCCTTGATTTTTGTAGTCACAGTGTAACAATTTTATCTTGATTGCAGTCTCAATTGCCTTTATGTAAAACTTCAGATGAAAAAGAAAATTCTTTATCAACTTACATTTGCCAAACCACTTGTATAACCTAACTTTTTGAAATTCCCAGTCACTATAGTGTGCAGAACCAATACTTCTTTTTGGTTATTCCTTGGTGGTACTGTTACAATTCCATTATTTTTACAGGACTTTATTCTTTGTTTAAAACAAAACAAAACAAACAAACAAACAAAAAAACAAAAACAAAAACAAACATCACTTTCATCTGCTTGCTAGGTTATTCTGTTTCCAAAAAAAAAAAAGAAAGGGCAACAAAATACCTGAGCAGGATAATGGCTTTGACACACTGTTAATAGAGGTTTTTTTTATTTGGGATGTTACGTTATTTACCCTGTGTAATTTTCACACCTTCTCATTACCATTACAGGTGTTTCTTGCAGATGTTGGATTACTTTTTAAGCTACTGTTAAGTCCTTGTTGGTTGATTCTTGATGGTTTAATCTTGTTAAATCTTGCTTTGATTTGGACTCCTGCTTTGAAATGGAGAAGTGTTCCCAGGAACAGATAATCTGAAAGGAAAAACAGATTGCTCCTACATTGAAATAGAGATTTGAGAACTGTCAGTATGAAAAGAACTATTAAAGAAAAAATTTCTAATAGTTATTATCCTAAAAATATCTATCATTTAGTTTGTGTATTACAATGAATCTTAGTCTGCTAATGGTGAAGGACTGACGAAAATATGTTGTGACAAAGAAGTATGCTTGTCCCTTCTGCTTGCTTGGTTCCTTCACTTCCCTACTTGTAACACCTGTACCCACCAAACCATTTTGCTTTGCACTCTCAGCACTCCTCTTCTACTTTGCGGTCTAGAACTGTATTTTTTCCCCATGAGCTTCTTCTAGCTTTCTTCTCACTACCAGTAGACATCTTACCCTTTAGAATCTCATCTTCAGATCTTCTGTCTTTATCAGCAGAGGCATTTTGGCCTCTCCTTGAACTGCTCATTTCTTTGTTACAGGTGCTGTCCTTCACCCATGTTCTCATTATTCAAGTAAACATGAAAAATCGTTCTCATTAACAATATCTGTTACTGATGTTTTTCATGACCTCCTGTCTGCATAATCTTTACAATTTAGTGCCTGCAAAAAATATTTCATGTGATTTCATGTTCTAGGGAAGCATTTTGATTGTTGAGTATATTTTTAGCAGTTTAAAGCCTTGTATAAGAAAGAGGAAAGAGTTTATAGGAAAGATCCTGAAATGTAACTTTCTGTCTACTTCTCACTGCCAGTACTGGAAATCAAATCTTTTGGCTGTATGGGCTGCATTTGTCAATTTTTGTTGGGTCGTTTAGTGGTGTGTTTATTCTATTTAGTAAAAATGAAGAATATGCACAAAACTTGACAAAACCTTTTGTCCTGACCAGGCACGTTGCAGTACATGGCTCCAGAAATCATTGACAAGGGACCACGAGGATATGGTGCACCAGCTGATATCTGGTCGCTAGGCTGTACCATGATTGAAATGGCAACAGGAAAGCCTCCATTTCATGAGCTAGGAGAGCCTCAAGCAGCAATGTTTAAAGTAAGTACATGGATTTTTACTATCTACTTGATGAATTTTCGAATTCTAATTTAATTTTTAAAATACGAATTCAGTTGGTAGTAACCTCTTGTTATATGGATTATTTTGTGCAAAGCCACAGTCCCATCTGTATTCTTAATTCTGACTGAAGTACTCTCTTCTGCTCGAAGTTATACTGCTCTAGTGAGCAGTAATTTATTTTTGTGCTGGTAATAGATCATGACTCAGAGCAGAAACCTCAGAAATGAGTAAAAATATATGAAAACTAATATTCTCTGCCTTCTGTATTCTTCTGCTCTTGATTTCCCTATTGGCAACCAGAGTCTCCATGATGACAGCAAATTTCTTAGTGCTCCTATAAGTCTTATTTTTTTTTAAGCCTTCCTCCAAGAGGATGTTTGCCTTCTCTTTCAAAGGCTCAGTCTTTGCAAGATAATAAGAAGGTATTGTAGAGGAGGGAGTCCAGAGCTTCTGGTATGTACTGAGGGACCCCTGCATCCTAAATCCTCTCAATCAAAGCTACCTCCTTGGTGAATTGTTGTCTCTAGTACTTCATTTTTTTTAAATTTTTTTTTTTAAAGCGTATCTGTACGTTAGTGGTGGGTTGATGGTTGGACTTGAGGTTTTTTCCAAACTTAATGATTCTGTGATTTGACACCTATGTGAATAAACACTTGAAAATGCTCCAGAAAGTTTTGATAATAAATGTGCTTGAAAAACTCTAAAATGAATACTGTTAAATGGCTTCTTCTGGTATGTTGTTGAAAGTCACAATGTGAGCATTGGTGTAATTCTTACTGCAGCCATGTCAAAATAAAAAATAATTGTCAGTACGTGTAGTGAACTGGGCTGCAATTCACCATGCTTCATACTAGGCTTGTGAGTTGTCCCATGCCCCACAGCTAAAAGGCAAAGAAAAAGGTGGCTATGGTTTTTGATATTGTTTCAACTGTACAATGGACTGTCCTGGCTTTTGTTTAGTGTTGTGGGCTATAACCCTGCACTATGGTGCCATCAGCTTGTGACGCTGTCCCAGTTAAGCCAGCTGGGTGAGCCTGTCTCCAAGGGCACTCCAAGGAGTGGGCTGACCATGAGTTGGGCATTCTGAGAGGAGTGGTCACAGCCCAGTGAGCTGTTGGCTGTCGTCTCTATGCCTAAAGCAGAAGTGATTGGTGATATGGCATTGCCATATTGGTACTTATAAAGAACTGTCCAGGGTTACAAATCAGATAAATATGCTTCAACAGAATAGGTTGGTGTTTTGATATTGTATCTCCCCAATGGGAGACAACATAAATACATTGTGATTACATTTTGATTTATTTATTAAATACGTTGATGTAATTGCAGAGGTTAGCAAGTTGCATACACTAAAATAAAGTTGCCTTCGATTTTTGCTCAATGCTGAGGTTTGAACGTGTTTAGCATACTGATTTGGAAGGCATAATGCATTATTAGCATTTTATCTTCTGCACTGTCATTCAAACACAGGCACCACTGCTCAGCACTTATAGCTTCAGCTTTTTTGAAGACTTATTGCTGCTGTTAAGTGCGTAATGGTGCCAAAGTATGTTAATGCAGCTCTATAATGAGATTATTTAAATAACTATTCATTTTATCAAGCTGCTGTCACCTGCTTAGCTGCTGGGCTACCATCATCCCTTGTGTCACTGTCTTTCTGCTTGGTCACCAGAGCATGTTGTGTATAATGGTGCTGAGTCTGCAAGGCAGGCACACATTACACAGCTCTGATGTCAAGATGTTTAATGCCAGATCAGCATTGAAGAGTAAGAGGGCAGTGAATTAGATGGAACAATCACAAGGGAGCAACTTGAAGTAGTGCATTTGTCATTACTTAAATTTTGGGGGGACCATCTCAGCAAACCTTTGGCCATCAGTTTTTCAGTTCCCTGACACTGAAAGGCTATGGAAGACATCTGACCCGAGTGCTGGGAGTGGTGAGAAAGTCAAGGTCATGAGCATTGGTGCAAGGAAACTTGGCAGCAGTAGGAACAGAACAGGTGCAGGCCCCAGGCAGTGAAGCAGTCGTTGGAGGAGGAAGTCATTCCCGATCCTGAGCACTAATGTGCTGCAGGATGTCAGCTGCTGAGAGAGATGGGGTGCACTACCCCAGGAGGGATTTGTGGTAGTATGAGAAACAGCATTTGAAGCCCTTGGGATGATGTCCAGATCTTGAGACTGTCTGAAGGTAGGTGTTTGGACACATCTTTACCTTGATGTCTGTGTAGCACAGTGGGTATTCAAGCCACATTTGCAGTGCAGTAAAACAGGATCAGAACCTCCCTGTTGCTTCACTGCTTTGCGTTGGCATCTAGTTTGCTGCTTTTCCACTTCGAAGGTATCATCTGTGAGAGTGTGCCGGCTCAAGCTAAGAAAACTTTGGCCTATGCTCTCCTTGCCACCTGATTAAAATAATTTGTTTGTGTTTTACTTGCAGGTTGGGATGTTTAAGATTCATCCTGAAATTCCAGAATCGTTATCTGCTGAAGCAAAAGCCTTTATTTTGCTTTGTTTTGAACCTGATCCCTGTAAGCGTGCTACAGCGTCTGATTTGCTCAGAGATTCTTTCCTGAAACAAGTCAACAAGGGCAAGAAAAGCAGAATCGCATTCAAGCCTTCAGGTATCAGCCAAATGCAGGTCAACATCGTTAGTAAGGCTTATGTAAAAGATTGGGGTCATTAAGCACTTCCTTTTACTTGTGCCAAGAAATCAGCAGGAACTCAACAGCTGAAAGTATGTCTTATTTGTAATTAGACATGTTTAAATTTAACAATTTCCTCAAAATATGATGTCTTGCTTATTTTGTGTACTGCGTAATTACCTCCCAACCAAATTCTACCTTCTCCCACAAATAAATTACCAATTTATAAGAAGTTTAAATTAAAAAAATGATGTTCTGTAAAGACTCCAAAGCTGTTCTGCATTTTAGATTCATAGTTCTGTACAGCTCAGAGATCTGGGCTTCATAGAGCTGGTCCTTGGCACCTGGAAATGGGTCTGTCAGGTGTCTCTGTTGACATTTGGTCAGCGTTGTCCAACCTGATACAGAACTTGAAAATTTGGCTCTGTTTGCTGAAGGGGGTTGTTTAGATTTATCCACCTAGTGTGCTTCCTCCTTCTTCCCCAGTGTATCAGCCATGTTCTCAGTGAGAAGAGAAACAACTGTAAGTATAGACTTATCAAATAAATTAGTGTTTGAGGGAACTACCCATTTAAAAAAATAAGAAAATCCAGTGATCTTACTTCTTGTGTCTGCACATAGACATGCTCAGGTTTCCGGTGCAAACTGAATTGCTTCTCTTTTTGATCATTTTTCCCCATGGCAGAGAACTTTTGAAAGAAGAGGAATGGAATTCTAAAGGGGGCATGAGGAAGATCTAGAAATTAATTTATTACCTCTGGCTGAGCTGTTTTCAGAAAGGAAATGGGCATCTCTGTCCTGAGAGGCAGTGGGAGAAGAGAATTGCAGTCCCTGAAGCCAGACTGGGTTAGCGGAGAGCTGGGCTCTGATGGTGGGGCTCTTTGGGATAACCCAAGGAGCTGCTGCTGCAGGAGAGAGCACTGAGAGCAGCAGGAAGCAAGCTCAGTGTTGGCCATGGCCATGAGCATAGCAGACAAATGATACAAACACTGCATCCTGTTTGAGAGGAGGAAAGGCAGCAGCTGCAACTGAATGTGTGCATGGCTGCCCTGGAGCCAGAGAGAGCTGTGTTGGCTGCAACAGCCATCTCTATGGGGAGCTGGGGGCATGAAGCAGGCCATGGCCCTGCAGCTGCAACAGTTCATTTCATCTTCTCACCTTTTCCCTCAGTACCCATTTCCTGTCTTTTCCCACGTCTTTCCATCCTATCTGTCTTTTTTTTTTTTTCCTTTCTGATAATAAAAGTATCTCACATCAGATCTCAGCCTTGTACCCCTGGGACAGCAACTTTCAATTTTCTGTGCTGCTGAGAAGCCTTGAGCTCATTCTCACAGTTTGACATACCTTGTTTCATCTCTGTGACTGTTTAACCTCAGCCATTTGAACATCTGTCATGCACTGTCATGCACTATGGAGGATATCAGAGCTGTCTGAAGAACTTCCAGCTTCCTTCCCCCCCTCTACCTCATTGCTCTCCCTTTCCTTCACCATCTGTAGTGACAAACACAGAAACTTTTGCGTTATTTTAGCTTCGTGCATGTGCAGACTCTGAGAGGCAGACTCTTTGGCTTTCCTATCACACAGATGCACAGTGGCAATCAGGATTACAGCAAGCTCTTTGTAGGTTACTTTTTTCTTCTTTCAAGATGAATTGGAATGGGACAAGAGTTTTCCTTTAGGCTGGACCTTAGAGAGGGAATCCTTACTGAGGGCAGAGGGAGATGCAGATGAGGATGATGCCGCGGGTGTTGGAGTGGGAGCAGAGAAATGGAGTCACAGAATCACTAAGGTTGAAAAAGACCTCTAAGATCATGTAAAAAAACCCATCACCATGATGCCCACCACGTCCCTCAGTGCCACAGAAGTTTCCCAATGAGGCAGGAGGGGCTGGGCTGGGGGGTGCTCCCTGCTGGGATCCAGCTATGTTGGTGATTGGCCCTGTGCATCCAAGACAGGCTCCTCAAACAGCTGTATGCCACTGGTAGCCCTTTGTGAGAACAGCAACACAGGGGAGTGCGCATCTGCATGCAAGAGTACCAAAATGGCATTCCTTTTTCTTCTTTTAAGCACTAAGAAGCTCTTCCTGCTTCTGTCTGCTTCATGTTCTGTGTTGTCTTGCTCACAGATTACAATCGGAACGCATCCCTCCCGCTGCCAATCCACGGAGAACAGGCTGGCAGCAGCAGCAGCGAGCACGGCTCTGTTTCTCCAGACTCTGATGTACAGCATGATGTGTTTTTTGAGAGGCCAAAGAGATCCATTTCGGAGATTCAGACAAGGCATCCCATTGCCCATTTATTGAGGTAAAATGGTTGCTTTTCATTTGACACTTGTGAGGGCTGTGTGGATTTAATTCATGTTTTATTCTATTTGGGGGCATTTATTTCACGTGATGACTAGTTAAGCAGGTGTGTGAAATAGTGAGGCAGTTTGCAGGCAAGATACCAGTTAATTGAAGCATTATTTAACTAATGAACAGTTATTCTTTCTCTTTTAAGATTCCGTGTATTTATGTACCTTTTTTCCCCAGTGAATAAATGTTGGTCTCCCATTGAGTGATTCAGCAGTAGATGAGCTGCCCCCTTCCAAGTACTCTCAAGAGAACATGAGAAAAGGGTAGCAGACAGCTTTGCTGATCAGAGAGCACAAACCAATGCTTTCAAATGAGTGTTCTATAGTACGGGGCCAGAAAACATAAACAGCAATCTCAGCCCAAAATTCTCAGCTTTCCTTCCCAAAACTGAGCCAGTGCTGGCCGATGATGGTGTCATTTCTCACTAGAGTGACATCAGTGTTGTGCCACCACTGAGGTTTTCATCAGCTGAGGATACGAGTCTTCCTCTCTCTCAATCGGTGTTTAGCAGTGTGATCAATGTCCTGCTATAGTTTAACTCACTTTTGCACCTACCAATTACCCCTGCTCCCTGCTGACAGAGCTGCCATGAGGGCAATTCTGAAGTCTCTTTTTTGTGGCCCTGTTGCTGATGCAGTGTGCCTGATGAGGGCCTGGCCCTGGAGGACAGAAGTTTCTCTCCTTCCAGTGAGGATAAGGATTGTGGTCTGTTCCTGCTACGGAAGGACAGCGAACGCCGGGCAATTCTATATAAAATTCTCAAGGAAGAACAGAATAAAGTTGCTTCAAATCTGCAGGACTGTATTGCACAGGTAATTTCATTTCAGCTCTTCTATTCCTGCTTCAAAAGGAGAATGACAAGCCAAGTAGCCAGCATAACTCCTTTCCTAAAAACTAATAAATGAAGATGCCAACAGCGGTAAATTGATAGGACTTTACATTTCTGCAGCCCAAATTCACAGTGACACTTGCATTTGATGGTGTGTGAACTTCAGGGGGTTGAGCTGTTCCTTCTGAATACCTTTGACTGTGTTTAACTTTTGCTGTAGTCTGAATGGGTACCAGACATCACCTTTTGTGTGCTTCTGGGCTCCTGCTCTTCGGGCACCTGTTGGTTGTTAGAGGACTGAGATTGGTGAGATGTGATTTTGGTGATTTTCTTTTCTTTTTTGGTTTTTTTTTTTTTTTTTTTTTAAGGGCAAAATTATGAAATAGTTCACAGCCTTAACAGAGTCTAAAATGCGTATGTGACATCTCAATCAGAAGTAACAACAGTTTTAAATATTTTCCAGGATAAAGAAGGATTATTTGGTAAAGCACATCCTACCTCAGTCCCCAGCTGTTCTGTAGCATTACTTTAATCATCTTTCAATTATTTCTGTAATACTTGCCCTTTTCCTTTTAATTACACAGGTGGCTGTTCTTACATGTACTGAAATTGCTTTAACTGTAGGGGGTATGGTCTGCAAATCAGAGAATGAACATTTGTGAGCTGTTGCTGTGTAATCGTAGAGCTTTTTCTGACTTAAAATAGGTGGGTGCATAAACATCATGATTCTATAATGTCTACGCAATTGCTTGGAAGTCTAGAGTTAGCTTATTGTAGGGACACATCTACGAACACTTGGGTCTCTTACCAGCTCACTCTGCTGCTTTTATGGAGGAAAGCTGCCCTCTACAGTATATTGGACAAATGTGTAAATATTATCTTGAACCTCTCTTTGTGACAGCCATGATAGCAGCAGGTGTGATTCATTTTCAGAAAATAGGAATTACTGATTAAAAAAAACATAGACAAAGGGAGAAAATCAAGACTTTGCAGAATCAAAAGTTCTGTGGTATCTGTGCTTAGGTATGAAACATACAGATGCAAACATATAAATTGTAACCTAGACACTAATACTACTAATTAGATACGACATTGGGATTTACTTGATAGGCTTTCATTATCTTTTCCCCAGAGCTCTGAAGAACTGCAGCTTTCAATGGCCCACATCAAGCAAATTATTGGGATTTTAAGGGACTTCATACACTCTCCTGAGCACAGAGTGATGGCTTCTACCATATCCAAATTGAAAATGGATCTGGACTTTGACAGCACTTCCATCAATCAGATTCATCTGGTGCTCTTTGGATTTCAGGATGCGGTGAGTTCCTTGCCTGGCTCAGAAGGAGAGGAATTCTTCTTGGACAGACCTCTCAGTGCAAGTGCTTGTTGCCTCCCACTCTTCCTCACCTCACCCCCTGTTCCTGTTCTTGCTGAACAGCCATCAGAAAAGCTGCAGAGGGGCACATGGAGCTGAAGCCCTAATGGGTTGTAGCCTCAGCTTCAGTGACTTGGGTGCTCCCATCCTGGCCATGAAGCTGAGCAGGGCTGAAGGGCTGCCTATGGGCTACCAGCAAGCTCTAAAGTTTGTTCTGCATCCTGCATTTGCTTTCTATTCACCTCCCATTGTATGGTACAGGGACATGAATGTCACAGTCTGGTTTGAGAGCTCTAGACTAAAACTGTCAAATTGGTTGTTTAGCCTTTCAAAAGTTGGGAGGGCTTTGGTGATTCTTACACTGAAAACTTCAACTTATTACTGAAAAACAAGATTTTGTTTCCTAAGATGCAAGTAAATATTGTTTGTTGCAACTTAACTTACTTTTACTTGCTCATATATCTGCAGGTTAACAAAGTGTTAAGAAATCATTTAATAAGGCCCCACTGGATGTTTGCAATGGACAATATAATTCGCCGTGCAGTCCAAGCAGCGGTCACCATTCTTATTCCAGGTAAAACAATCCAGTTGTTAACAAACCAACAGGAAAAGCTGATTGTGCATTTGTGTAGCAAATAGAACAGGTTTCAGTGTACTCCATCAGCATGTCATTACCCATATCCCCTGTGCTACTACATCAAAGGTATGGGATCAGAAAGAAGCATCGATTGTGAGGATTAATGCCACAGTTGCAGTACCAAAGCACACAATGGGTACCAGTGGTTCTACATCACCAATCTGGTCCAAAGATGAAGCTTAGTCCAAGCTGGACCATTTGTAGTCGGAAAGAAAATGACTTTATACATTTGAATAGACATTTAGATAATATCCAAATGGTTAATGTTGCTTGTCTGGTCTGGTTATGTGTTCTGGCAAATGACTGCTCAGCTCTGGAACTGGTGCAGTGGCAGTGCATTTACATGAGGAGAAATAGTCTTGGTCTGTAGATGGGTAGGTAGTGGGAACAAGCGCCACCATCACCAAAAGGGAGGAGGTTAAAAGATGGTCTGTCCAGGAGTAAGGCTTATCTGGAACTCTGAGCAGTTTTGTAACTCTGAAGTGCCAAACACCATTTCCAGTATGAGAATGTTCTGAACTTACTCATAGTGAGCCCTTTCAGTCCAAATGTGCTGTGGCACTCCTTTTAGCACTGATGTTGTAACATCCATGGTCCAGCTAATAAGGCTTTCCCTAGTCCTCTGTGCATCATGAAACAAGGCCTCAGCCTGAGCTGAGGCTCCTTCACCTGCAGTAGCAAAGAGCAAACTGCACTACCCCATGGAGATAAACCAGTCCAAATAAAATCTTACAATGTTTTGTTTTATCAGAACTTCGTGCTCACTTTGAGCCAGCATCAGAAACTGAGGGTGGCGACAAAGATTGCGATGAAGTGGAAGAGAGTTTCCGGCCCTCTGAACAAAATGGGACAGAGGACGCTGCAGTCACATCAGGAGTTAGCACCCTCAGTTCCGTGGTGTCACACGAGGCTCAGCAGCAGCTTAGCCTGGAATTGGGCAGACTGAAACAAGAGACCATAAGGTAACCCGTACACAACCATACACAAACACTATGTGTTTATTTCTAGGGCCTTTAAAAAGCTCTCAGACATGCTTCCTGCACTGACATGTACTTACCTGGTGACAAAGCACACCTGACAGCAACACAAATGGATTCAGAGGGCGCTGGCAGCACCACTATGACAACTCAACAGCTTTCAGTACAGCTTTCATTTCTGTCAATTCAATTTTTGTGTTGCAGTGTGTCCTGATGGATTTCTACCGTTAAGTAACGATGCCTGTGTAACATTGTTTGTTTCTTTCCTATTGCCTTAGATGTCACCTCACCTAGTAACACCATCAGAGATGTTCTTGCAAGTTTTATGAAAATGGGGCAGTAGATACCAGAGGGACAATGTTCCTTCTTTCTCCTGCAGGGGATGGCCAGAATAGCTCATGAGATGTGGCAGGCTCATTAATGAGTGTACGCAGAGCTCATCAAAGCCCCTTTCCTACTATATGAGTTATATTTGTATGTTGCTGCTGATACATCTTCTGTATGGATGCAAAGTAAATCACCACACCGTTACACTGCCTTGCAGTAAATTATAAAGAAAGATAGAAACTCTGCCCAGAGAAACTGCTGAACACCAGGAAAAGAATTTACATCATATTTACTAAATTCTGCTGTAAAGATGAGGGCCTTAAAGTGCTACCACCAAGCTGAGAGTCAGGCAACAAAAAAGGAATCTTTAGGATTAAGATTTTTAGGCCATAAAGATATGTTACTTAAGAGCATCAAGTATCCCTTGTGTCAAGTCCTGTGGCAGTTGTTAAAAACTCTGGTTTTTTTTAAGTTAGATTTATTCTCAGTATGGTGGCTGTTTATCTCTCTTGTATGCTAACAGGCTTTTGGAAAAACTCGTTCAGAAGGAGAAGGAGTATCAGACACTCTTACAACGATCTTTGGAGCAAAAAACACAGGAACTGCACTTGCTTCAATTAAGACTTAAACCTGGAGGTATGAGAAGATACTGAGTGAGTACTTTGACAGTATGTATGTCCAAGTTCATGGGTTTGGTTAAAGCGTGATTTGGATCTTGTATTTGAAGCTTAAATAGTTTCAAAACCACCACTTTTTTCCTAGTTTTGAGGTGTAATGACTTCTTACTATTTTTTCTGTTAAAGACTGGCAGTGGCCTGCATCAGCTTTAAAAGAGAATGCAGACCCAGAGCTCACAAACTGGCTGAAACAACAAGGGGCAGACCCGGATACCATTAGAAGGGTAAACATATGTACATACCTTTTTTTTTTTAAAAAAAAAAAAAGTCAGCCCTTATTAGCAATTGGGTTTCAAAGGAGGAATACTTATTTACTTAAGAACAAATTTCCCTTTCAGTTTGCTGAAGAGGATTATACACTGAGTACTGTCCTTAATGACATCACTAAGGATGATTTGCGATGCCTTCAACTGCGGTAAGGAACTACATCTTAGGTCACTGCTGAGAGCTTAATTAATAAGAAAGGGGGGGAGGGGTAGATGTTATGATATTCTTATAGGCCTATTAATTCACTCTGGTCTTCTGTTAACGTGTGAACACTGACTGTCACACTATAACAACATAACATAAACTGTACAGTAAGTTATAACATGCCCTCAAACTTTTTGTATTTACCATGACTGAGGACTGTTTCTCTGCCATTCAGCACCAAATGGTCATAAAGGCATGAGGAATTTACTTATTTTTTCTCCCTGTTTCATTGTCATTCTTAATCTATGGCTGATATGGAAGAAATTGTTTGGCCATAAGCTTGAACAGCCCCAGTTCCTTCACTCTCTCCTCCTATGGCACATTCTCCAAGCCCTTCACAAGCCTTGTTGCCCTTCTTTGGTCCTGCTCCAGCACCTCAATGTCCTTTCTGTACTCAGGTGCCCAAAACCGAACACAGTGCTTGAGGTGAGGCCTCACCAGTGCCGAGTACAGGGCCAGCAGAGTACAGCTTCCCTAGTCCTGCTCACCACACCACTCCTGATACAAGCCAGGATGCCATTGGCCTTCTTGGCCACCTGGGCACACTGCTGGCTCATATTCAGCCGACTGCCCATCAGTACACCAAGGTCCCTTTCCATCAGGCAGCTTTCCAGCCACTTTAGAGTTTACTTCTTGCACACTTTCAAGTAATGGAGAGGATGTTTTTTCCCTAACCAGTTACTGCTGTCCCTAATTGTTCTCTATTCTTCTTGAGACAGTGGCGGACTTCTCTGCAGAATTTGGAATGCAATATTAACCCACCGACAAACGCCTGATAAGTCCATGGAGGCAGAAGGATAGCTCTTTGGAAACAGATGTGTAATGGGAGTAAGCAAATGAAAGATAGATACATTCCTAAATTATTGGATGTATATATGTACGTAGTCTCCCTGCTTTGCAGGTTTTGCACAATTACATAGCTCTTTGACCATCAGCATAATACACAGTAAGTAGTAACAGTTTATGGAAGAGTAGCACAGAAGACAAATGCCCTATCACTGTAAATATAAAGCCTTAGCTGAGACAGAGTTGATTTTCTTCATAGTGTCTGCTAAGGTTTGGCTCTAGGAGAAAAACAATGTTGATAACAGACCAATGTTTTAGTTGTATCTGAGCAGTGCTGCCTAGGTCTGAGGACATTTTGTTTTTTTAGCTTCTTGTACTGTCCTAATAGAGAAGTGGCTGAGGGGAATACAGGGAGCTGGGAGGGGCAGAATGAAGACTGTACCAGGCACCTGAATTGGCTTTAGCATTGTGCACACTGAACTTAGAATGGGTGACAGGTGTGCTGGCTGATGGTTTAAGCAGGAAGGGGTTAAGCTGTAGTGTATGTCACTTCTTCCTCTACAACTGTACATAGCTTTGTGTATGAAAGCTACTCTCAGTGAGCAACTAAGCAAAGCCTGCATGATGGTTTTGATTTGTAATTTGGCTCCAGTAAAAACGTGGCAAACCTATTTATTTTCTTTATCAACTGCTTCAAAAAAAAAAAAAAAAAAAAAAAAGCAGGAAACCAGATTAAATGTTGTTAAAGTTTAATTTTATTTCTTTTTATTTTTACACTGTACATGACAAATACAGCAATCCAAAGAGAACCTGTGAAGCAAATATATAGCAATTTAAATAAACTGCTGCTTTCTCATTGTTCAGCTCCTTCAGCAACAACATTCAGGCATGTTTAAAACAATCTGTACTGTGAGGGGACTGCCTCACTCAACACCTCTTCTTTTGAAAGAGGAGGTGTTAAATAAAGATTAAGGTTTCTGAGTCATTACAGTTCTTGTAAATGCACTCACTCTTACGAATGGCTGAGAGACTTATACTTTATCCACTGGCTGGGACCACGCACTTCAAAGGGCGGCTCATTGAAGTAAACGTGGTTACCGAGTTCTTCCAGTGGGGGCTCTGGGTCAGTGGTAGCAAACTGAGCAGCTTCCTCTATCTCTTTTCTCACTGCCACATCGATTTCCTAAACAAAGAAACGCTAATTAGAAGACATCTTAGAAAAAGCATCAATATACTGAATTTAAAAGTGATGATGAAACATTGATCAGACCTAGTATTAAAGCTGCCTATAAAAAATTAGAGAACTGTAAGTTTCTTCCCTTCTAAAGCAAAGAACAGTACCGTTAATTATCTCAGAGGAACAAGACCACAATGAGCATTTTCTTTCTTGCATTCTCTTTCGGCAAAGCAATGCAAGTATACAGAGAAATGTGACTGAAACCCTGCAGGTCAGGCATAAACGCGCCCAACTTCTGATGCATGGACCTTTACAAGCTCCAAGGAGATCTCAATAGCAGAATAATCAGGATATTTACACCACTTGCTTAGGGAGCTTCTGGCTCCTTCACTAAGATTCTTTACTACCACTGACCAGTGCCGATGTAAGACTCAAAGTTCAGAGGCTTACCTGCTTTCTAGCTCATGTGGACAATTTTGTTTTCTTAGACGCCAGCGTGAAAAGAGATGTATTTGAAACGCTAACGCTCACAAACCTTGCACTGAGTTACACTCAGCACCCAAAAGCAAAAAGCAGTTCCTGCACAGCACAACTGCATTAGCTAGTGTGCAACAAAATTTTATTATCAATCACCAAAAAGTTACATCCTAATAAAAAAGCTCAAAGAACAAGCGAATAAGTAGGAGATAAATAGTACATGAATGTAAAAGAGCTTACTTAAATATTTACTAAAAGCCATACCTTTAATTCTTCAACGCTAGCAAGGTTATTGTTGATCATTCTGTCCTTCAGCAAAGTAATGGGATCACTTTTGCTTCTCACTTCTTGAATTTCTTCTCTAGTGCGATAGCTAGGAGGAACACACGCAAACAGATGAACTTCAATAATTCTCTTGAATCAAAGTGATGATGCAGCTCATTTTTAGAGAAAAGGTGTCAGGAATGCAATGAAAATACAGCAGTATTCATTATCCAAAGTACAGCATGGCTACATTCAGAAGACTTCTTAGATTTGAAAGTGGAAACTGAAATAGATCCAGACTTAAATATGATGTGGGCAGGAGAAGGAAAGCTGGTGTAGCTGAGATGGCTAGTATGAAGCTGTATTTCTCCCTCCCTATCTCTACTAATGGAAAGAGCAGTGGGGGCTCTATGACTTGCTTTGTGCTATTAGCTTGGGTCACAGAACTTACAGAAGGATACGTTTAATGAACTCAATCAAAACTTCCAATTCACTACAGGTTTCCAATGAAGCGTTAAGGTATATGACTACTTCATGTAATCAGTCTGAATTTGTTGCATGGTTCAAGGCCCTAGGCTTTTTGGCACCTGTATGCTTGTGCTGCTTAAGAAGCGAAGTGTTCCATTTGACTGGACACTCCAGCTGTTCCTTTACTTTTAGCTTATAGGATTTTTATATACTCCAAAAACCCTGGAAAAGTGCACTGCTTTTCAGTCAAAGCTTTCTTAGAATAATGCCACAAAGTCGTACAGAATGCAGAATTCATTAATAAAAGGTACAGAAATTGAGCAAATATTGCTTGTTCTGAAAACTCCATTTCTTAATACTGAAAATAAAACAAGGGCTGAGTGGTCAGACTTGTCACAGTGATTTTATCATAACCTTCATGCAGTGTCGGGATTTTGACCATCAATACTTGATTGTTTTCAGTGAATGCTAACACAGGGTTTCCATGGTACCTTATGCCAGGATCACTCATACTGTGGCCATGATAACGGTATGTCTGCAACTCCATCACGATAGGACCCTTAAAAAGAAAGAACATACAGAGAGCAGTAGCACCTTGAGCAATCCATTTGTGTTATAGCACTATTTGCTACAGGTGAATTGTTTGAACTGTACAACTGACAAATGTTTTTAATTCAACTTTCTCTCTTAGTTTAATCAGTTCACCTATCATTATCACAAGCAGCAAAAGAAAACTCCTCTTAAATGAAGAAGTATGTTGGTAACTACTAGCATTTACTTTCACGTCCTTACTGAGCATTGTTAAGCAACCTGGTCCCTTCCAATGCCTTTCCACCATTACCCAGAGTATTTCAAATTGCTCATAATTTCACTTCAAGACTGCAACTCCCAGCAGCTTGTTCTTCTGCGCAAACTTCCTTCTGTGCATTCCAAGCACAAACATCATTTCACATAACATCAGATAAGTCAGAACAGTTTTATTCTTGGGTGACAGGCACTGATGCTGAAAAACCATTAAGGTTCCATACAGTTTTGTACGTATTTCTAGGCAGGTACATAAAAATCTCCCTCATTGCCATACATCTAGTCTCACAAAAAATCACTTTCCTTTTGTTGTAAATGTAGAATAATTTTTTGTGCCCCTTCCCATAATAAATTTCTTCATAAAGAACAAAGCTGCCTAACAGTCAAAACGTTTTTCACAACAGAGTTTAAGAAGGGTTTCTAGGAAGGAGAAAGAAGTTCACAAGGTCTCAACATTCTTTTTTTTCTTAAAGCTTGACTGAATACAACTGCGTGTTAACAACTCTAACAAAATTAAAGAACGACTTAATTAGTAGTAGATTCCTTACTCTGGAGAAACAGAGGAAATAAGGTCAAACAAACAATTCTACAGTAACTACAGAAAGCTAGGCTAACTTGGGGAATGTTTTATGCATCAATTATTGCTGAAAGTTTCACCTATGGTAAAGGAATGGCTACCGACTTACTTTTCCAGCTCTGCAGTACTCAGCTGCAAACTTGGCTGCTTCTCGAACACAGAGAACGTCCATGCCATCCACCTGATGCACAGCACAAGTCAAAAAGAGACCGGAAAACAAACTTTCAAATTCAGTACCTTCATATCACAAATGCAATAGGAACTCAATCTTAAATTTCCTATTTTTAAAAATATTTATAGGTAGAAATACACAGGCATGTATGTATTGCACACACATGCCTCAAAGCACACTGGAGCTGTACTCACTCTAAGCCCTGGGATGAAGTCTCCTCTTTTGTAGTAGTCAGTACTGGCTGCAGCTCTTTCAACTGAGGTTCCCATTCCATACCGATTGTTCTCACAGATGAAAATACAAGGCAGCTTCCACAAGGCTGCCATATTGTATGTTTCAAATATCTGGCCCTGAAAGAAAAGGAGCAAGTTCTGTCTGGACGGGGAGCTCACATTTCAAGCAGTAGGCTCTACTGAAAAATCATTCAGCTACAGCTAGCAAAACTTTTGATACCAGAAGTGATCTGAAACTAGCCCCTTGCTGCAGCTCAGCAGCAATAAAAGTTATATTATAAAAGTAACTTTTATCTCCACTCATAATTCATAGAATTTCTTAAGTTTTAACCCATTTCAGTCTCTGTGTTAGAGCAGCACAAAACGCAGAATGATCTGAGTTGGAAGGGACCCTTGAATGCCATGTGTTTTGAAGGTGGGAAGGTAAAAATCAACAGTGCACTCTACATCACTTTTTTCCATCTGGCTTTATTTCTCTGCCAGTAAAATGAAGATAATTGTCTCAAAATAAGAGGTTCAGCAAGATGCACTGGTATCACCAGACTCATTTTTTCAAACCATCATTACAACAGATTCAAAGCCAGATGCTGTCTGGGTTGCAGACACTAGACAGACAGGGGAAGGTGCTCCTCTACCCAGCAGAAAGGCAGAGCTCTCAGTTCACAGAAGGAAAACCAACTGCCCACAGTCACAGAGCTACCTTAGACAGCTTGTTTACCTGGTTGGCTGCACCATCCCCATATAAAGTCAGGCAGACCTCATTTTTGCCAAAGTATTTGCAGGCCAGCGCAATCCCAGCTCCAAGAGGAACCTGTCACAGTACAGGACATACCACAATTTTAGAACAATTAGAGAACACTTAGAGAATGTTGGAGACAAGTTGCTTGTGAAATGTGAAGACACTTCCGATATCAGGGACGTGCTCAACAGATACAAGAGTAGTAACAAATGGAAATGGGTTGGTAACAATCTGTCTAGCAGCCAGAATAGTTTATAGCTATATTCTTGGCTTGATGCAGATTGCAAAGCTGTCAGCAGGCCAGAATAACAACAGATTTAGCAGCCACAAAGTAATAGTAGCTGCATACAAGTTCACATCATGAAAATTGAGAAGAAACGCTAGAACAGGACACCAGCCAAATTGAACTTGTGTTTTAAAGCAGAAGTCATGTATATACCTGAGCACCGACAATACCATTACCACCATAGAAGTTTTTGGTATACATATGCATTGATCCTCCTTTTCCCTTCGCACATCCTCCTTTACGACCTGAAACATGAACAAGTGATTTCTTTTTTCAGAAGAAAAATGCTATACAAGTGGTAACAGTTAATTCAACTCCTAAAAGTAATAATACTGAGGCAATGTTACTGTTGTCATGAGATAGATCTCAAGAGAGTTGAGATGCTGATTCTCATCAGACATAAAGACCTCTCCTCACAGAACTTATAGTTAATGTATCACCAAACAAATAAAAGAAGCCAGGGGGAAGAATGCTAATGAAAACATCACTTGAGAAATACAGAATAAGATGTATTCATTAATTTTATTCCCTACTTTACTATAGAGTGCTTTCGTATTTTTCAGAACACTCATCTCAGGTGGCTGTCTATTTAAAATAGCCAGTATGGTCTACATTTCTCATGTATCTAATCCATGGCACTTTAACAAGAACTGCAAGAAGTATCTACAGTCCTTTTACTTTAGCTTCTGCAAGAAAAATATGAACACTGTTCCAAGCTAATTGCAGTAATCTACACTTGTCCTCCCCGTAACAACAGCCAGAAGAAGAAGTTACAGACATGACAAAGAATCAAACACAATACCTCAACAAAAACCCACAACTCCCTCCCTGCCTCCAGATCAACCTTGAATACCTAGCCCAGCATTGTTCAAGCTGTCGTTTGCCCTTTTCCTTCCTAACACAAGTACCTCCTCCCACCCACACAGTCAAACTATTCTTCGATCCTCTCCATCCACTCCAGTCTCCCAAGTTAAACCTCCCAACTAGAAAGTTTGAGAAATGCCCATCTAGCCATCCCCTCCTCCAGTGCTGCACGAATCTGTATTTGGGCATTTGCATTTGTTAGCTGCCTAACCAGTTACCAAAAACCATAAGAATACTGTTCTCTGCTATAGCAGAGATCATGCAGATGCTAGGCACAGGGATTGTGCTCATACAATTATAATACATTTCAACTACGTTGAGATGTCAAAAAAACAATCTCTCAAGCCCCTAGCTCTTTTTCTGCTCAAGTAATGCTCAGCCAATTGGTATTTCACCTAGCTTGCTCCCTGTTTCCCAGGCCATTTCTCTCATTTTTCAGAATCACTTATCTAAGAGCGCATAGCTCCGCCCCAACACATACTATGCTGTCTTCCAGTCCAACATACACAATTCCTCCACGCCATTCCCCTAATTGTGAATGGAACTATGCTGGCAGCAGAAAGCCTCTTTAACTTTTTGCAGAATACATCCTTTTGTTTGGCAACAATTTTGGCAATTACATCAATTATGGTTTTCTAGTTACATTTCAGTTAAATTGCGATTTAGTTATTTCTTATACAGGGTCACAGCTAATAGCATCAAAAGATTTAATAACAAGTAATTGAACTGATATCTACATGTTTTTTTCCTCTGCCTATTATCACAGAATGGCCTGGGTTGAAAAGGACCACAATGATTATTCAACCCCCCTGCATATTTGCAGGGTCACCAACCACCAGACCACGCTGCCCAGAGCCACATCCAACCTTAGCCCTGACACCTCTCCGAAAATCAGACAGGACTAACATAATGTACTCTGGCAAATTATCTCGGTTCCTACGTTTCATCTTTTAGGTACTAAAGGCATTCTCAGCATAGTTTGTCTTTCCACCACTCCAACCAAACTACAACCAACAGGTTTATTTCTCCCCGTATCTTCTCTCCACTGCCTTTCTTAAAATATAAATGTAAATACAGTACTTTCAGATCCAACAGTAATTTTAATTACATACATTCTACCTAAATCACATTTTGAGCTACAAGAAGTAGCAGCACTTAAACCTTGTTACTTTAATGATGCAGCTACTTTTTATTACAGAACACAGACCATAAGCAGTGTTTATTTTGCTGTGTTACTACATTGCTTCTGGATCCCTGGTATGCTTTTTGTGCATCAACAACATTTTGAAGTTTAGTAAAAACAATCCTGAGGCTAGTACATAGCACAGGAACCCGCATTTCATTTAGCACAAACCTGTAAGTTCAGCGAGAATTTCTCGAACGGGGACGCCTCGGGCATAAGTAAATCCGTGAGCTCTGTATGCTGTTATCACGTGGTCTGTAGGCTTTATGGCAGCCTCAAGCCCTACGCAGCAAGCCTCCTGTCACCAATGGAAAGCAAGTTCAGCAATGAAGAGGAAGCACACCATTTCCACAGGCTGCAGCGTGGCACGGTCTGTTTGTGGTCCCCCATACAAGAAATAAAGCAGGAAAGAGGAAAAGCACAGACAACAGCAGAGTGCCTTACATCCCAAGAAGGAATAGG